AGTAAGGCCCAGCATGCATGATATTTATTGTGTAAATAACTTTATATCAGCATTTTTAAAAATGTGATTAGAATCACCTAGAGTGTTTTTTAGAACTGCAAATGCATGGACCATTGTACATCTGTTAAACAAAAATCCATAGAAAATCAATTAATTTTATCTGTTACTAATGGTGATTTAAGACATGAATGACTGTCATTATGGAAAGAGAAAGTAACTGAAATAGAAGTTATTTGTAAAATAACATTGCTCACATTGGTTTGCATGAGCTAGGGACAAAGGAATGAAACTTCTATTAGCACCATAGTCATGTGTCATGAAAGTGATACATGTTATCTAATGCAGACGTAAATAAAAGAGCGATACTGATATTGTTCAGCTTGGGCTGCCATGACAAAATACCATAAACTGTATGGTTTAAACAACAAGAATTTATTTTCTTACAGTTCTGGAAGCTAGGAAGTCCCAGATCAAGGTGCCAGCCTGTTCAGTTCCTGGTGAGGGCTCTTTACTTGGCTTGCAGGTGGCTGCCTTCTTGCTACCTTCTCAGATGGTCTATCTTCTGTGTGAAAGCAGGAAGGGGAAGTGGGGGGAGGGAGGGAGGGAGAGAGAGAGGAAAGGAGAAAGGAAGGGAGAGAGGGAGAGATAGTGTTTTGGTATCTTCTCCTTTTTTTCCTAAGAATACCAGTCCTGTAGTATTAAGGCCCCATCTTTATGAACTCTTTTAATCTTAGTTACCTCCATAATATAGGCCTTTATCTCCAAATATGGTCACATTGGAGGCTGGGGCTTCAACATATGAACTTTGGAAGACACAGTTCAGTCCATAATAGTACCTTTATATAAAATACTACGTTTTAATCTTGAGTGTTAAATTCCAGAGCATGGAATAAAATATAAGTGAAAATCCAAACTCTTTCTTCTCACATGCGTTTGCTTTCTTTTTCTTACTTGTTTCCATTAATCGTATTATGAATACATATTTATTATCAAGGGAAGATTGCTCAGAGGGTCATTTACCATATTAGATTGTTTCAAACTTCAGTATATGCACATATAGAAATAGAAGATAAAGCATTAAAACCACCTAGTAGTAGAAAGAAAAAATTACAAAAGAAAAACTAAAATTGTCTTTTTTCACAACTAATATAGTAGATGAATGTTGCATTATGTATCCAAAATATTTTTTCTTTTATTGGAGTAATCTTTGACTCCTTTCTGCCTCTCATAAACTCACAGTTAATATGTCAGCAAATCCTGTTGACTGCACCTTTTAAATGAAATCAGAATTTAGCAACTTTTGGCCCTTTCACTGCTACCAATGTTGTCTGTCACCTGGATGTTTACAGTAATGACTTAAAAGTCTCCCTGATTTTTTCCTTTTCTCTCCCTATCTGCCACCACATGTCACTACATCAGTCTGTTTTCAACAGAGCAACAAAGTGATCCTATTTAAATGTAACTTAGGACATGTCTTTCTCCCACAGCTTCTCGACTCTCTGAAAGTATAAACTCAAAGCTCTTCAGTGACCAAACACAGTCTTACAAGAGTCTCCCTGTCCCACCCCCGGCAACTTTATTACTTCTTTGACCTCCTCCCCAACTTCTCTTTTTTGCTCACTACGGTTCAGTCACATTGAGGAAGACCTTGTTGTTCCTGAACATTTCAGGCACATTGCCAACTCAAAGTCCCTGCACTTTGTTTTTCCACCTACCTTTGAAGTGTTTTCCCCAGGTAATTTTGTGGTTCACTTATTTCCTTCTGGTCTTCATGCAGAAGTGTCAGCTCCTCACTGAAGCCTTTCCTGCAACCCTATCTAAGATTGCAGTGTCTACCCCAAAGCTTTCTATCTCCTTTCTCTGCATTATTTTTTATTTTTGTCATTAGTACTTGTCATTGTTCAATGTCATATATATATGACTAATTTATCTCATTTGTGGTCTATTTTCCTCACTAGTATTAACCTTCATGAGACAAAACTGTCTATTTTCATTCCCTCCTTTATCCCCAGTGCCTGAAACAGTCTAACTCAGAAATAAATGAATAAATGAAGTCAACTTTACTTTAAAGAAGTAAGGAAGTAAAGCTAAAAATTATCCTATAGCAGAGACAATATGTGACTGCATATAACTCCATGCCAATTGGTGGATCAATAAATAAGATGGCATGTAGTAAAGAGTGTAGGATTGTGGAAGAAAAAGAAAGAAACTTACAGAACAACTTTTGAAGTAGTCAAAGACAATACTATTAGAGAAAGGATAAGTAGGAACCAAATAATAAAATCAGGTGAAAAATGAGAAAACCCAATAAGTAACAGCCAAAAGGATTGATTGAGACAGGAAAAGTCTTCCCATTGAGCACGGCCCTTCTTTGCCTGCAGCAGAGATGATCAGCTTCCTGTCAGGATTGAAGCGTTATTAGGAGCATCCTCCAGTGAGGCACGGGAGCAGCTTAGTTTAGTTCAGCCCCTGCCTTGTTTCTCCTGTTAGTTTAAGATCTGTGTTGTATTGGAATGTAGCATAGCACTAGTGACCAAAGGGATTGTGATTTCTACAAAAGGAAAGAAAATGTCTTACTTATTTATGATACCAGCAAAAATAGTATAAGTGGAGTATTAATACATCCCCTTATGAAAACCTTCTGCTTTTCTCAGGCCATCTTGCTCCTGTTATTTGAAGTACTGTTTTCATTGTAGTTTACCAGCAGTGCTCAGAGGAAAGGTGGAGTCTTTGAGTGGCTAAGGACCAGTCTCAGAAGGTCTTATCCCCTTATTTCCTCCAAATGTAAAATTGAAAGTATTATAACCAGCCTTACCTTATAGAGAATATTTGTAGGCAAATAATCATCATTCATTTATCAAAAATATCACCTACTAAGTTCTAAGCATTCTACTAATTTCTGGAGATTCAGCAATGAACCAGAGAGATACAGATGGTACCTTCAGGGGAAGTAAACAATGAAAATAACAGGTAATAAATTACTGACTGGTGCTATATGCTGTACAGAAAAAAAGACAGGGTGAAAGGAACAGGTGGTGCTTAGGCATGGTTGTTTATACTAGAGGTTGGTTAAGGAAAGATTCACTGATAATGTGATGTTTGAGCTGAAACTTTCAGGAAATAAGGGAGTGAGATGGGGATATATGGCAGGAATACAAATTCTAGGTAGCATGAATAGCAAGAGCAAAGGCCCCGAGGTGGCAGCATGCTTGTTGTGTTGAAAGAGCAGCAAATAGGCCAGTGTGACTGGAGCTCAGGGGTCGAGGAGAAGTGGTTGGAGTTGAGTGCTGAGATTCATGGGGTGGGGAGAAACAGATCATGTACTCCGCTGTAAGCCATAAGACTCTGAGCTAAATAACTATCTATTATTTATTATAGCGTAGAACACTGATATGATGAATATAATGTTGATGAAAAATTATTTTAACAGCCCTGTATATGCTAAAAGAATTAAAGGAAATATTGAAAATAGGAGAAATTAAAATTTTATGTATTTCTAGTATCATTGAACATCATTCTAGTGATTTAGGAAGTGCATTTCCAAACTTGCTGTGGATTAGAGGAAGTGCACCTCTGACTTCTGGGTGGTCAGAAATGTGATTGAGAGAACATCAAATTTTAAGAGCTATTTTCAGTCATTCGTTCTTTCAGTCGACTAGGACCTCAATAAAAAAAATTATGAAACCATTTTTTGTACCCCAACAAAAAATTTACTGAGTAATGTGATGAATGTTGATTGTGGAATAAGCAGTAGACTCTAAGAAAACAGAAAGTAACATTTAAATCAGTGTTTTGAATTCTTTGTCTTCTTCCTCAAAATGTTTGAGGAATGTAAACATTCCATTGTTAAAAGTGACCTTAGTGTCTATGATTCTCAATGAGGGCCAGTGCCTGGGGAAGGAGAGGTGGAGGGAGACAGAACAGTGGGGAAATAGCTCAAGCAAGGCTGATAGAACCTTGGAGAAGCTTGTCTGAGCCCTCAGAGCCCCTTGAGCAGAGCCATGCAAAACTTACAGAAGGATGGCTGATTTCCTCAGACTTTGTCACCAAAAGAACTTTCTGCAATTTTCGTGTGTATGTTTGCTTTGTTATGTTTGCATTTACTTGTTTAGATGGGGTATATTTGCTGTGAAAATTCACTCTCCTCTTTCCCTGTCCCCACCCCCACCTGCATGTTTTTTCTAAAGATAAAAGGAAACTCATTTGAAGACACAAATGCTAGAGCCTGCCTATGTGAAAATAGATCTTGTCCAACTCCTGGGGCCAGAAGAATTTTGTTTCCTCTTTCCATTACAATTTCATAGGAAGCTGAGGGAGAGTACCACATTTAATGAGGAATTGTCTGGGACATTCTCTCCCATCATGGTTCATTCACTAGGAACATGTCCACGTGCTCTTCTGTATCTCTTCTTTCTTTCTGTTGAGAAATTGACATTACTGTAAAGGTCAGGAGCTTAATCAGTTCATTACGGATTCCACAGATCAGCTTATTTATAAATGATCCTCATACTTTTTGAGCAAGTGTTTGCATTGTTTTGCTGGAGACAAAATAATCTTTTGCCCTGTATAACTAGTGGTTTCAACATATTTTGTCTTTTATTTAAAGTTGCAATTACTTAAACTCTAGACAATAATTTGCTTTCTGTTGATCTGAAATTAGCTCAGGTGAAAGAAATACAAAATGATTCAGCTTGTCAAATATGATTTACTGTGCTAGGAACATATCTCTAGCATGTTGGGAATAATCATTTTTCTCTTTTTAATTTTTTCCCTGAGTAGCCTCTATCATTATGTAATATAAGCATATTATATATACATTTAAGTAAATCACAAGTTAAATACTCTTTGTAGTAAAGATAAAACTAGAAATAGTTTTGTAAAAGTATTTTATTCAAGACTTTTTGGAACCGTGTACATAGCCTTATGTTTTGCAAAGAAAATAAAAGAATATCATTTCTTATTTCGATTATTTTCAAATTTTTTTTTACACTTTTTCCTAGTGTGCCCTGGTATGTGAATGTACAGCCCCAGAAAGTGTGAGCGGAAAAGATAACTTACCTTTTTTGAATTCAGGTATGTAATTCAGTTTTAAATACTTATGTTAGTTTCATGTGAAAATGAATTTTAATTTTATATAAAATCAACACTGAACCAACATTCTCAGTTGTTTGTGAAACTTAGTAAATACACTGGGAAATCATGAGGGACTAGCAGAATGAGGGAAGATCGTACAATTCCACAGGAAAGATAAATGTGCTAGCTATATGGCAAAACAGATCTGATCGGCCAGGTGCAGTGGCTTACGTCCCTAGTCCCATCACTTTGGGAGGCCGAGGCAGGCGGATCACGAGGTCAACAGATTGAGACCATCCTGGCTAACATGGTGAAACCCTGTCTCTACTAAAAATACCAAAAATTAGCTGGGCGCGGTGGTGCATGCCTGCAGTCCCAGCAATTCTGGAGGTTGAGGCAGGAGAATTGCTTGAACCCGAGAGGCAGAGGTTGCAGGGAGCCAAGATCGCGCCACTGTGCTCCAGCCTGGAGACAGAGCGATACTCCGTCTCAAAAAACAAACAAACAAAAAACAAATATGATCATGTGCTGCATAATGACATTTGGTCAATGACAACTACATATATGACAGTGGTCTTATAAGATTATAACACAGCTAAAATATTTCTATCGCCTAGTGACATCTTGGTGATCCTGATCTTGTGTGGGCTTAGGTTAATGTGTGTGTTTTTGTCTCAGTTTTTAACATAAAAAATTAAAAAGTAATAAATTAAAATAAAAAGTTATAGAATAAGGAAGAAAGAAAAAATACTTTTGTACAACTGTACAATGTATTTGTGTTTTCAGCTAAATGTTATTATGAAAGTGTCAAAAAGTTAAGAAAATTTAAAAGTTTATAAAGTAAAAAAGTTACAGTAATCCTAAGTTAATTTATTATTGAAGAAAGAAAAGATTTTTAAAATGTTGTAGCCTACGTGTACACTGTTTATCAAGTCAACGGTAGAGTATGGTAATGTTCTAGGTCTTCACATTCACCCACCACACACTCACTGACTCATCCAGAGCAACTTCTAGCACTGCAGACTTCATTCATGGCAAGTGCCCTTTACAGGTGTACCATTTTTAATCTTTTATACCATATTTTTACTGTATCTTTTCAATGTTTAGATATGTTTAGGTACATAAATACTTAACATTATGGTACAGTTACCTACAGTTTTACACACAGTAACATACTATACAGATTGTAACCTAGGAGCAATAGGCGATACCATGGAGCGTAGGTGTGTAGTAGGCTCTACCGCCTAGGTATTTGTAAGTGTATGCTGTGGTCTTTGCACCATGACGAAATTGCCTAATGACTAATTTCTCAGAACATATCTCCTTGTTAAACTACACATGACTGTAAATTTATTTTAGCTATTGGATCATATACTATCCCAAACAAGAAACACTAGAAGACAGTGTGAAGCTCTTGTTTAGTTTGACTACTTAATTATGTAACTCATAAAGTTGTTAAAACAATAGATATATGGATTCAGTAGGAAAAATTAATAATCACATTTGTACATTCTTGGGTATATATGTGTGTATTGCTTTATTCACAGTAATATGTTTGCATTTTTACAAGGTATTAGACTATTAAATGTATTTATGAATAAAATTGAGACATATAGTACAGTTAAAATATATGTGATATGAATATGTAAAATTATGGACCCAATTTTTAAATGATAATGTAAATTAAATGACCATTAGTAAATAATGACTACTGTAGTGACAGACAATATGCTAATACCTTATATACCTTGTCTTAGATAATCCTCTGCTGTGAGGAAGGTACTATCATTATCCATATTTCACAAATGAGGAAGTCTTCAAGATAACCTATGCAGTAAACAATGGGTCCAGAATTTAAACCCACTTTGATTCCAAGGCCTTTGCTCATAATAGGCTGTGGTATTACTAAGAAGGCATTAATCAACAAATTGGTGTCACGGTAAAATACCTTACTCTTTTTTCTAGCCCTGCCATGTTGTACATTTAAGCAGTGACATAGATAGCATGATAATCAGGTTAATGAATGATACAGAACATCAACAGCTTACAAATACAGAACCCCTAAATTATTAGCAGTTTTCTCTTGCAGGAGGCAGCTAACAATAGGGAATGGGGAAGGAGAGGCATCCCTTTGGCTCTGTTTATACACACAGATAAATAAAATGCAATTTAATTGAGAAATATGTTTCAAAACATCAAATCCACTTTCACAGAATGAAGAATTAACCCAAGGAAGAACAGGTGTTTCTCAACCTACAGCCAAATGAAATGGGATTTTTCTTAGTTTTTATGAAAGATATAATACTGTGGGGTATGTACTAAATAGTGTTTTGAAGGGTCTACCCAGAAAGCTATTAATCAACCGTACATGCTAAAAAACACCTGAGTTATTAGTGTTCTTAAAATATTTAAAGTATTATCAAAGGGTCCTCCTCATATTTGTTTTTCACCTGAAAGTTGGCTAAACCTTTAGTTCTTTACTTTAATATGTTCACAAACCATAATTTATTTCATTCATTAAATGTTAATTTTTAAAAATAAATTTGAGTGGGATATTAAGTTCATTTTAAATACAGCTTGATTCAGGTTATCATCAAAACCATCTATACTATAATAAGACACATTTTAATGATTACGTGAACCCTCTAACTTTTTTATACACACAAAAAGAAGTGACATTTTGTGATACTTATTGGTTAAGTATAAATTTCAAGGAGAAAGAGAAACATTACTTTAAAATCAAGCAAACATATTACTTATGGAAGAAGAGACAGAGAGATCATATTGAAAAATAGATCATTACCTCTCCATAGCTGTGCCATAAATTCTGTAAGGCATAAGTCTTGGAAGCCATACTAATTCTTCCAGACTACCAGGGTATTTGTTTGTTACAGATAAACTGTAATATGACAAAAGCTACTGACATAAAATTGATGGGAGCAGCTGCATTCTGCAATTTAAATATACTTTGTGGAGTGAAAGATGATTAATTATTGCTTTTCTCCTTTCATGGAGGTGACAGTTTGGTGGTGACAGTCCACTTAGTTCTGAAGATAATTCTAAATATCTTTAGTCCAGTCAACCTGGAGGACCACTCAGAACCTAGGATATTTGTCACAGATATTTTCTTGGAGTCATCTTACATTAGGAGAAGATGAGAGTAAATGAAAATCAAATGTTATAAAGACTGGATTTTTAAAAACCTTATAAAAAGACAACTAAGTGCTATTCATAAAATGTTTCTGTTCAAAATATAAAGGTGCATTGTGCAGATATAAAATATGTATATGTATGACTTTAATCTTTTGTTCTATTTATTTATCTAAACTCAGCAGCTCTGGAATTAATCCATTCTATACCCATGTGGTATTTCTTTAATCTGTGGGCAAAGTAATCTATTGACATTCTTCTCAAGTCTTTGTATTAATGTCTTAAATGGATTTTTCAAGTCTCCAGTGAGTTATGAAGTACTTGAGTGGGAGAGAATGTCATATCTTATACCAGTTCCTCACTATTCTATTTACATCTCTAGAGATTTTGGTATAAATCAGGAAGTTCACTTATCTGTTATAAAACTAAGAAGGAAAACACTTTCCCCAAAGTCCTCACCCTTTTCATGCCCTTGCAAATTGAATGTGGATGTTGGGAATATGGGGAATTTAGGATGGAAGGAGAGAGAGAATAAGGAACAGGTGGGGCAGAATTTATAATTCCATAAGAAAGATATATAAGTACCTTAATTACATGGGAATACAAACAAGGCACACACTAGAAGACACAGTATGTAATAGACATGTGAAGGTCTTACTTAGTTTGACTTTCTAACGATATAACTGATAAAATTAAGTTAAAAAGTAGACTTATCTCTAATTATTTGCTTATTTAAATAAAATAGCACTAAGAAGACTTTAAATTGTTTTCTGTGGGAGGTGGAGTGGAAAGGGGAGTAGGGGAAATGAGTTTTGACTGTATAGAAGGGGAGATGGTAGGTCTTTCACACAGTCATGGAGTTTGGTGCCTAAGTCACACTCACTGAGGTACCTTGTCTGCAGCACAGCAATAATAATTGCTGTATTGATACAAGAACACTGGATGGGCTGACAGAAGAAATGGTTTTAAAGCCTGAGTTTTTCAACCAGCAGTTTGGTCCTGAAAGACAGTTCAGCTTCTTTGCCTTTCAATTATTTTTAAATGACCAAATTAACCTAAGCAGTTTTTTACTTCCTTTTTGGCTCTCAAATGTTTGAAGCTGATGTAGCATAGGTTAGCGTTTACATTGTTCTCCTTTTTAGAAACACTTAATGAAAGTATTCATTGTCATCAGTTTTATATGGAGGAATATTTGGCATTTATAGTTTTCTTTCTCAGGGGTTACTATTTACAGTTAAAAAGTCTGACCAGTGATAGAACATTAAAAAAAGTGTTTTAAACACAATTCTCTGTAAATTCCTTAATTCTCTCTGTTTTTTGGTAAAATTATTGTATAATTCTACAGAGTACTTCAGCCCATGGACCCTAAAATTCCCATGCCAAATCTAAGAATCTAGTAGACCCTGTCACAAAGTTTCCCATTCTGGTCCCATTTACAGTGAGCTCCCTGCCTCAGCAAGCATTAGATCTGATACAGCATTTTTGTATATGTAACAGCCATGATTTCCATGACTGTGGGAGTTAGAATCCAAACAAAAATGAGGAAACTGTGCTGCTATTAGTCATAAATATGTGCAGTTCGCCTTCCTATATGGAGAACTTACTGGTATTTGTATTCCTTGCTTCACAGCTTTGATTCTTTTTCACCAAATAGGGTTAAATCACCTATTATTGTTGTTTTGAAGAAGATACTAGATTGTAAGCTACTTAAGAGGAAGGAACATTACTTTTTTATTTGCAGTCTATATCATTGTATGTTAACAAGCTCTGGGCACTTAAACGTTATAAATTGAATTCTTCATTATTTAGCATGTACCCTCTCCCATTGGTCTAGAAATCTCCAATCAGTT